TATATGATGATATTGATGGTTGAATAGCAGATGGAATATATGTTGGTATAACTTGTTGATTTGTTGTTTTTATAGATGGTCGTTGAAGAACAGGAGGAACTGATGATGGTCTTTGTTTTTGAATAATAGGTGGAATCGATGTTGATACAGATGGTTGTAATGCTTGAATATGATGTTGTCGATAGGGTTGTTGAATATCCTGAAATTGTTTTTTATAAATTTTTTGTTGTTTTTTTATCCATGACTTTCTAAATTTGTCATAACAATTAGCAATACATTTAGATAAATCAAATGTATCGTCGTTTTCCAAATCATCTTGACTGCAAGGACAACTGTTTAATGTTTTTTGTGTTAAAGATTCTAATGGTATTATTGAAGTGGAAGGTTGTGTCGTTAAACCTGTTGGAGTATATTCGTATTGTTCTTGTTGTAAATGTTGAGTGATAGATGGAGATAAATATGGTTGAATAGTAGGTTGTTGATTAATTTGATATGATTGTATTGATGGTGGTTGTTGTGGAATAATATGATCATAATTATAAATGTTTTGATGATATGTTTCAGTTGTTTTTGGTGTAGAATAGTTGTTAGGAATAAATGTTTGATCAGTTGAATAATTTATACTTGATAAATCTGAAGTGATATCGTATTGATTTAATGGATATGTTTTATAAGAATGTGGTTTTTGTTGTTTATAGTTAAATGTATTAGTTGGTATAGAAGAATAAGATAACTGTTGATTGTTAATATCAGTATCATACAATTGAGATATACTTGGTTGATATTGAGTATCTGGTTGAGTATATATAATTTGTTCCGATGGTTTACTATAAATATATTGAGATTTATTGTATTGATCATAAATAATTGGTTGTTGATTAATATAATTGTAATTAGGAGTTATGTATTGATATTTCTTTGGTTGATAATGATATATTGGTTTATATGAATTATATATTTGATGCGGAATCTGGTTTGGTAATGTTGTTAATTGATCTAAATTAGAATATTGTAATGTAGGTTGTTGAGATGTTTCTATTGGAAAAGTTGTTTGTGTTGTTTGAATTGGTGTATTATATGGTGATAAATGATGTGATAATGGTAATGTTGATTGAACTGGTAAATCTTGATATTGTTGAGTATAAACCGATGGTTGATATATTGGTTGTTGCGTTGTTGGTCGTTGAGCAAGTCGTCGTTGAAGTGCTTGACGACGACGGCGAGCTTGAAGACATCGAGTCATGCAAATATCTAATTCATCTGGTAGTTCTTCTTCTTCTTCTTGACGAATAGGTCTTGAAAACATGTTTGAACTGAATATAATGTTTTAATTTTCAATAGAATCAAAAAGAACTAGTGAATAGAAATTTTCTTACTATGTTTCTCTATTTATTATCAATGTTCTATATAAAAGACTAAAAACAAATAAACTGATGTTGGTAGTATATAACGATGAATTGATGCGTTGGTTAATCCTTGAAAATGACTTTTTTTTTTAACGATTGTTATTGTTATTGATATAATCGACATTGAGCATCAATGATAGAAACTATATATATATATATAAAATCTTTTTTGTTTTGTGTTTAATATGTATGTTCTTGAAATGTCGATATCGTCTGATATCAACGACTGAACAAAAATAAATTGACTTAACCCAAGGATTTATTATTATAAATAAAAAAAAACTTTTTCTTTGTATATCAAGGTTTATCCTTCTGTACAAAACTATCTTTCTTGTGTGTAGAATACTAATTTATTTTATGTAAATAATAGAGCATAATGACATATAAATCTAGCAACAAAAAAAGAAATAAAACTAGAAGAATATATTCGAAGTATTATGTTTGAATTATGAGTAATTGTCAATGTTGGTTTATTGATTTTCGTATGTTGTATTTCTATATGGTCCGTAGTTTTCTTAAAAAAAAAAAGAACTCGATAATTAATTCGTATTTAAATGATTCGATACCTGTTGAAAAATGTTGTTGTCTAGGTGGTGGAAATCTAGGTGGTTGAAATGTATTTTGTTTAAATTGATTTTTACCTTGACCAGGACCATTAAAGACTATGAATAAAGAAAAAAAAAAGATTTTTTATTTTTTTTTTTCTTAATAAAAAATATGTTTATTATTTAAATGTAACCTGTTCGTTGAGCAATGAGTGAATCACGAAGACGAGGAAGATCAGATCGAAGAATAATAGTTGGATTTGGTGCTCGAATATAAATCGGAGATATTTGATCTGAAAAATTTGAATAAAAGAAAAGAAAACAAACAAAGAAAAAAATAATTCACCAAGAAAATTTTCAGTTGATGAATCTGAATAATATTGTTGTTGAGATTCATTGATAACTTTTGTTTGAAGATCAACAATAATATCATTAACAATAGCTTGTGAAATAGATAAACCTGCTATTTGTGATGGATAAGATGGAATACCTGATAAAATTTTCGGTTCAGTTGTTGATCGAACTGGCTGTTCTACACTATTTGTTGCTCTTATTGGCTGAGCAAATGTTTGTTGAGCTGTGTTAGAAGCTGATGAAATTCCATAAGGACCATTTATATCATTAAGAGCTTGTGTTGTCATTGTTGTTGTTGTTTGTATCGGTTGATTGAAATCTTCTTGATGATGTCTATTTAATTGAATAAAATAAATAAAAATGATAAAAAGAAAAACTAATTGAACAAAAACCTAAATGGTGATAAACTCGGTGTTTGAGCATCAGGAAAATATTTTGCCATTTCAGCTGATGAATCAATACTTGAAAAAGAATGAAGTGATGCTGTTGTTTGAACACCTCCGAATGTGTTAGAATTTTGTTTTGGTACAAGAATAGGTATTGCAGTTGATTGTGTTATAGTTTGACTTGTTCTTGAATTAGTCTCGTCTTGTGGATAATGTTGGATAGAAAAACGATCAATCGAATCTAATTCAGCGTAAGCTATAATTGAAAAATTTCGGTATTTTTTTTTTTTTTTTATTATTATTGATATATCAAGTAAGTTTTGTGGCCTTACAATATGTTTCTTGCTTGTCATGTCCTTCGTTTCGATTGTTTGTTTCATGACCATGATGATGATTATGATAATAATAATTATCTTCCATTATTTATTTATTTATTGTTTTCTTATTTCTAAAATAATCTTTTTCTTTTTATTTGGTTATGATCAAATATTACAATATGTTTGTTAAGAAGAAGAAAAAAAAAAAGAAAATGTTCGTTTTTAGTTATGTTTCAACTAAATATATGTTTAAGATGGATTAGATTTTTTATTCGAAAGTACGATGCATACGTGCTCATTCGTTACACATTGATGATTTTGTTATTTATTGATCAATCCTTCGTATTCTTTAGCCTCTTTTTTTTACATTCTTATGTAAAAAAAGAAAAAAAAGAAGATGAATTTGTTTCGATTTTTTTTTGAATTTTATTTAGATATTAAAAACAACCGAAAAAAGAAATCAATCTTATACTTTCACATAGTTTTTCTAAATATCAAACATCTCGATATTAAATTTTTTTTTTTATATCGATTTGATATCATTATATATATTTGAGTTTTTAATTGATGAAAATCTCATCAATAGATTAAGTTATTATTTAAATAAATGATAAATAATATTAGAATTTGAAATGAAATATAGATGAATTTATAATATGAATGTAAATAATTATTTTTCTAAAATAATACTATTTATTGATTAAATATAATGATTATCATAAAAACAAAGTAAATTATTCGATAGAATTTACAAATGTTTGATTATGATTCAATATCAAAATAAATAGTAGAATAAATAATGAAAATAAGAAAAAAAATAAAAAATTTCAATAAATTCAATGATATTTAATTTAAGATAAATATATTCATATTTATTTTGTTTCTTCAATGTTCAATTTATTTTAATCTTTATTGAATAAAATTTTTATTCTTAGTCAATCTTAATATTAATTATAATATACTAATATCGATATCAATCATAGTATTTATATATTAATCGTCGTCATTAGATGTGATTTACTTTTAGTTTGACATAACACGATAAAGAGTGTGCAAAATAGTAAATAGGAAAAAAGTCAATATTACTCTTTTTTAACAAATGACATATTTAGCTATGACGCAGAAAGATTTCTTACATTCTCACTTTCTATTTCTGGAAAAATTATTTTGTCTTTTTTCTTTTTAAGTGACATATTAGTGGTTATTCATACAATAAATCATCATCAGTTATATATATTTTCTTGTTTAATAAAAAAAATCTTAACATCAATAAACACTTCTATATATGAATAAACTCTTCAATAAATATGGATGAAAAACTCCGACTCAATTGTTTAGTTTGTCTCGAGACTTATTTTCATTTGATGAACGATAATAAAAATCGAAAGAAGATAAACATTGTATAAGCTAACTTATAAAAGAATTTTTATTTAATTAACAACATATGAATAATGATATCAGATTGAAAAAATACCCTTATTAGATCTATTGTTTTTTTTTTTTTGATTGTTCATTAAAATGTTTGACATTTATCTAGTTATTAAAATATTTCATAAATAAACTTAATAAGATTCTAAAACTAAATCATTTGGTACATAGATAAATTATTGTTGGTAAAACAAAATATAATAAATGATGAATTTTTCTTAAATAACTACGTCATTGATATATATAATCACAATAGATTATTCTCTTATTTGATCATTTATAATAAAAAAAAAAAAAAAAAAAATTCTTTTTTGTTCTTCTATTTGCATAATGAAATAGGGTACATATGTCAAATGAGAATAAATTTTGCTTTTTCTAATATAAAAGTTAAAATAGTTTGTAAGGATATTATAACATCTAAATAGTGATTAAACTATGGAAGAAGAATTAAAAGTAGATATAGTTGAAAGAACAAATCAAATGAAATATTTATGTCTTGATAGTGAAAATTTAGCTATACAAACAATAACAAGATTAGATGATCAAGATCAACAATTAGAAAATATTAATTTACATCTTTCATCAATTGATCAAACACTTATTCATACAAAACAACATATTTATCGTTTAAAAGGTATAACACAAAGAATACTGAATAGATTTCGTTTTATATTTCATCGAAATATTTCTTCAAATATTATATTCAATTCAATAAAACAACCAATATTACGATCAAGAGTAAATTCAAATATTTTATTTTAAATCTAAATAATTTCTAAAAATTTTTTGTTGCTTATATTAGAGAGAATCATCTTCAAAAGAAATTCAAAATAAGATTAATTCATCAGAAACTATTATTATTGATAAAGATATTGATGATAGACTTAATGATATTGAAAAAATAATATGTCGTTTAAAAGATGAAGCTCAACATATTAATGATCAATTAATTGGACAAAATCATACACTTCATCATATTCATCATCATATTAACAAATCTACTATACGTATGGAACAAGAAAATAATCATATTCAAAAAATGAATCAATAAAATCTCAAATTTTAATTGATTAATTCTAATAAAAACATTTTATCATTTATATAAGAGAATTTGTTTTATTTTAACTTAATTAAATCATTCTATTATCAATTCTAAACTATTTTTCTATTTATATTTTATCAATGTAAAAGAATATGTAGGAGTAGTAACAAGATATAATGTTGTGTAGATGTATGTGTACGTATGAGTGAATGTATGTCATTAAAGAAGATATTAATTATCGAATTGATATATAATAAAAAAATTTCTTTTATCATATCATCACTCTTTTCTTTGTTAATATTCTTACAAAAATATGTCGTCAATATTTCTATATTCTTCTTCTGCATTTTACTTTATTTCTTTAATCGAAGTTTATTTTAGTTTTAGAAAAATTACAATGAAAAATTGTGTTACTTCAACTAAAATTCTATTTATTTTTATTAAAATCAAATATAGGTTTGGATAGTTATTCAACGAGCAAGGCTGAATGAGAAAATTGAATATTTTTTGAATTATGCAATAATTTGATGGATAAATGACTTGTTTTTTTTTGCGCTATATATTGAAATATAATGAGATATCTGTCTTTAAGAAAGTTAACAGATACAAACAACTATTCGTTAACCGATTAGTAATAATCGAAATAATCGGCCAGTTTTATTCGATTCTTACAGATCTAACGAGGGAATTTGTCCAATTGTCAAATCGTTTTCAAGTCGAGAGTATGTACATAATGTAGATCCTAATGAACTATAAATACTCTGAAAAGGGTTCATGCTGCTAGCTTATTGCTGCCAAGATATTGCATTTTCACGGCATTTTTAAATA